ATTACTGCTGAAGATTTTGCAAAACTGGCTAGAACATTGACAGAGAATTGTAAGAAGTTCAGGCTGGGTTTAGAAGAGGTTGCAGCACCAGGGATATCATTGCTGATGTCAAATATATCCTGGATGAAAGAAGAAAATACCAGAAAAAAAAATGTCTATCTATGCTTTTTTCACTATGCGAAAACATTTGACTGTGTGAATGATAACAAATCTTGGCCAACATTGAGAAGAATAGGAGTCTCAAACACTAAATTGTGCTCACGCTAAACCTGTTTTAACAGTTTTAGTTTGTTTGGCTCCACAGTCAACACTCTTGGTACCAGCAGAGAGGAAATCAAGAGACGATTGCATTGGGAAAGTCAGCTGTCAGGGACCTCTACAGAGTACTGAAGAGCAATGATGTCAGGCTGGAGACTATAGTCTTTGCAATTGCGTGCTATGCATCAGAGAGCTGGACAGTGACTAGGGATGATAGAGAATTGATGCCTTTGAGCTGTGGTGCTGGAGAAGAGTGTTTAATATACTGTGGACTGCTAGGAGAGCAAACAGGTTTGTCCTTATAGGCAAGGATTCTGAAGCTTTGTCTGACATACTTTGGGCATATTGCAAGGAGAGGGATATCATGTTTGGGAGAGTGGAGGGGCGGCACAGGAGAGGAAGACCCTCAATGAGATGGATCAATTTAGTGATTGGGGTGGTGGGAGTAGGTGTGTCAGAGACAGTGAGGTTGGCACAGGATAGAGAAGGGTTTAGGGCTCTTGTACATAGGGTCACTATGAGTCACAGACGACTCGATGGCACATAACAACAACAACAACAACAACAACAACAACAACAACAAACCTGAATTTAGACCAAGAGTCTGTTGTCTAAAGCAAGGAGACACTACGTGGCTTAAAACTGGAAAACATATATGTCAAGGTTGTATCCTTTCTCTACATCTATTCAACCTGTATGCTAACAAAATCATTCAAAAAGCTAGACTCTATGAAGAAGAATGTGGTGACATCAGTATTGGTGGAAGATTTGTCAACAACCTGTGTTATGCAGATAACACAACCTTGGTTGGTGACAATGAGGAGGATTTGAAGCACTTGCTGCAGAAGATCAAAGCCAACAGCTTTCAATATGGATTACATCTCAACATCAAGAAAACAAATTTTCACTATTGGACTTCTAGGGAACATCATGATAGATGGAGAAGAGATTGAACCTATCCATGGCTTCATCTTACTTTGATCCACAATCAACACACTTGGTACCAGCAGTCATGAGATCAGGAAATGAATTGCATTGGGAAAATCTGTAGTCAGGGAGCTTTCTAAGTTACCAAGGAGAAGCAAATGGTGTCAATTTGAGGACTGAAAGGCCCATCTGATTCAGGCCATGGTCTTTTCAAACACTTGCCATGCATATGAAAGCTGGAAAATTAATAAAGATGACAGAAAAACTGACGCTTTGGAGTTGTGGTAGAGTACTGAATATCCTATGGACTGCCAGAAGAACAAATAGATATTACAGAAAGTGCAGTCAGAGTGCTCCTTGGAGGCAGAGATGATGCTTTGTCTCACATACTTGGGCGTGTTGTCAGGAGAGGCTACCCATTGGAGAGGGACATTATGCTAGGAAAGATAGCCAGTGAAAGAAAGAAGACCCTCAACCAGATGGATTGACATAGTGTCTGCTGAAATGGGCTCGGGTATCTCTGAAATAATGAGGATGGCACAGAATAGGACAGGGTTCTGCTCTGTTGTTCATAGAGTTGCTATGAGTCATACTCAACTTAGTAGAACCTAACTACTACTACTACTACTACTACTACTACTACTACTACTACTACTACTACTACTACTACTACTACTACTACTACACCATTTGATAAAGAAAGGGCTGAAGAGAGAGACATGCAGGGAATGAAGCCAGGTGACTGAAATAAAGAATAAGGTTGGTGGCTAAAACAGTGACATCATGGAAGGAAGTCCTGGAGATAAAATAGCCAAGAGAACTTGAGGGAGCAGCTGTATTTTGCAACACATGGAGTCACTGTGGGTTTGAATCAACTTGAAGACAATGGGTTCGGGCTGTTTGTCATTGATGTAAACAAATTTGGCCTATAGTGTTGCTTTAGGAGGCTGTTGAGATACATTTGAAGGGGCCTAGAGACTTCCTGGATGTCATCAGTTTTAATGTTTTCGATTTTCGGGGAGGGCTATTGAGCTGTGACTGCTCTGGGCAGGGGCCACCAAGATCTGTTTTCCAACTTTCAATGTTACATTGTAATTCCAAGGGGAGGAAGGGCCCCAAAGCATATGTAATTGTTCTTTGTGGAAAATGCTTTCACTTATGCAGTCATTATCCCACCTTCAATGGCTCTTGGTCAAACCTCCACTCATATTTGAGACTCATATCTTGTTCTTTTGATTGGCAGTTCTCGAGTTATTGAATGCATAGTTTACAGTCCACTCTTATTTGCCCTTTAATTTGAGCTTTGATCCTCCTGTTCAGTCACAGCCAAAGAATCAAGACAAGAACAGACCAGAGTTTTCATAATTTGGGTAATTCATTACAGTCACAGAATGGGAAAAATGACAAGGTGATGCCCTGAAATTAGAGATTTAAAGGGGGCACAGTGGGCCCTTTCAGGAGCCTGATACATGGACTAGATTATTGGCCGGACTGGGGAGAGTTACACTTGTTCAAAGCAGTGGTCAGCCACTAACTTGGGTGATGCTACCATTTTTGAAGCCCCCCCTTTAGGGAAATGTAAATCTGTCCTAATTTTGAGACAGTAAGGCATCCTCTACTTACACCAGAATCATCACAATCAGCTTCATTACCGCACATGTGATTTATAAATAATCAAAAAGGCTCCCAGCTTCATTTTTTGCATTAAAGTATAGCTAATATCACAAACATATGTACCAGTTCTGGCTCATCTACAGATTCTTAGATACACATTTTAGAACTAATCTCATTTGTAGCTGGAAGATTGCCTGTGTCATTCTTCATCTCTGTTGTTGTTGTTATGTGCCGTCGAGTCGCTTGCAACTCATAGCGACTCTATGTACAACAGCCCTAAACCCTGCTCTATCCTGTGCCAATCGCACTGCCTCTGACACACCCATCCTGATTACCCCGTTCACTGAATCAATCCACCTCATAGAGGGCCTTCCTCTCCTACACCGTCCCTCCACCCTCTCAAGCATTATGTCCCTCTCCAAGGACCTGTCTCTCCTTACAACATGTCCAAAGTATGTTAAACGGAGCCTCAGAATCCTTGCCTCCAAGGAGCAGCCTGGTTTAAACCTCTCCAGGATGGATCTGTTTGTTTTCTTGGCAGTCCATGGTATATTCAATACTCTTCTCCAGCACCACAGCTCAAAGGCATCAATTCTTCTATTCTCCCTAGTCATTGTCCAGCTCTTTGATGCATAACAAGTGATTGCAAAGACCATAACCTGTATCAGACACAGCTTCGTCTCCAGTGACACCATTTCTCTTCAGTACCCTGGAGAGGTCCCTAACAGCAGACTTTCCCATCGCAATATATTTTTTTATTTCCTGGCTGCTGGTCCCAAGAGTGTTGACCGTGGAACCCAGCAAACTAAAGTTGTTAACATTCTCAATTTCTTCACCATCCATCCTGATGCTGCTAATTGGTCCAGTGGTGAGAATCTTTGTCTTCTTGACACTGAGCCTCAATCCGTACTGAAGGCTGCAGTCCTTGACCCTCTGCAGCAAGTGCATCAGGTTCTCCTCAGTTTTAGCAAACAGGGTTGTGTCATCTGCATAATGCAGATTGTTGATAGATCTTCCAACAATCCTGATGCCGCATTTCTCCTCATAGAGTCCAGCCTCTCCGATAATCTGTTCTGCATACAGGTTGAAAAGGTATGGAGACAGGACACATCCCTGGCGTACACCCTTCCCAATTTTGAACCATGCAGTGTTTCGCTGCTCTGTTCTGACGACTGCCTCTTGGTCCAAGTATAGGTTTCGCATTAGAACGATCAAGTGTTCTGGGTTTCCCATTCTTCTCAGCGTCAGCCACAGTTTGTACATGGGTTTTATGGAGAAGCCTGTTCATATCTCATCACTATGTATTCCCAAGTAAGGGAAAGAAAAGTTAACACTGAGTATCAATATGAGGAATTGAGGAATTTCTACCCTAAGTAAAATAACAAAACAAATTGAAGACAGTCAAGTGGCATGCCAGCTGCCTGTTGGTGGCCAACCCCCTTCCCTAGTCAGTCTTACCCTACATCCTGGTAAACATTTGTAGCACCACAACACAGACGTAAGGTTTTCCAGATGTTTGCAGAGTCCTAGCTTCTGGGAGAGGTGGTAGACTCTGAGGAAAATGAGAACCTAAGGCACTGTGTTTTCTAGGTGTTTCATCTATTGCTGGTAATTCAGGGCATGGCTATTCAAATACGCACTCTAATAGTCAATGTTGAATGGAGCCTGATTCTTCTTCATCTACAGCTGAGGAAACAGGTGAACAAAGAAGTGAAGGACTAGTCCAAGGTCAAACAACTTGTAGTCGCAGAGCTAGGACCGAAAGGAAGCTCTCCTGATTGTCAAGCAAATACTTTTTCTCTCCAACCATAAGTACAAATACTATTGACTCACATATTAACCTCTTGGTAGCACAGTAGTTAACCACTGAGCTGATAAACAAAAGGTCAGTACTTCAAATACACCAGCTGCTCCAGGGGAGGAAGATCAGCCCTTGTGAAGATTACAGTTTAGGAAACCCTTGGGACAGTTGCACACTGTTGGTAGGGTCCTTATTGGTTGGAATTGGCTCCATCACTTTGGAAATGGGGTCCTTTCTGGAAGTCTCATGTTTCTTCCGTGGCGCCTGGATTACTTCAGTTCTTTTTATGTATAGTTATATTAAGAAAGAAAACCAATCATATGTGTGTATGTACAGTTGAAATAATTTGTGGCACAAAATCATGTGGCACCGCTTGATTTCTTCACATACGGGAACTTACCCATACTGAACAACACCCATCAGTGGCCCTGCAGGGCCAATGTCAAGGGCTTGGGCAACATCAGCCAGGAACTGCTTCTGGATCCGGAATCGACGTTTGCCGAGGCTCGAGCTCCCATCGATGATGAATGACAGATCAACTTTGCAGCCTGAGGAAAGGACAAGACCTCTGTTACTGATTTTCTCTCACCAAATTCCTGAATGTTCACTCCATCCCTTCTGTCTCCATCCAGGCTGTGCTGATATTTCTCAATAAAAACTCATTATCATTAAGTCGGGACCAACTACTCGCAGCTGACCCTTCAGTGGATCCCCAAGTCTGTATGGAACAAGACTGCCCAACTTTCTCCTATCGAGACCCTGGTGGGTGGATTCAAGCTGTCAAGGGTGGGGTGTGTATGAGGGCTTAGAGTTAGCAGGACAACTCTCCACATACTATACTACCAGAGCCCCCCCATGTTCCCATGAGCTAAAAATAGTCCAAAAAAGAGCAATAAGATGCAGAACACATTCATTAATTTGGACCCATCCCTAGATTTTAGCTGGGCCCTTGCCAGGTCCCAGACACTTGTCTGTTGTTGTTGTTGTTATATGCCAGTGAGTCACCACTATGTTCAATAGTTCTGAACCTTGTCCATTCCTGAGCCAATCTCATTGTCTCCCACATACCTAATCCCAGTCACTGGGTTAATCCATCTCATCCCAGGTCTTCCTATCCTCCTCTCCTCCCTTCACCCTTCTGAGCACGATGTCCTTCTCCAAGGACTGGTTCCTCCTGGCCCCATGCCCGAAGTATGTGAGATGGAGCTTCAAAATCCTAGCCTGCAAGGAGAAACTTGCTTTCACCCTCTCCAAGACAGACCTATTTGTTTTCTTGGCTGACCATGGTATGTTCAAGATTCTTCTCCAGCACCATAACTCAAAGGCATAGATTCTTCTTCGGTCGTCCTTAGACATTGTCCAGCTCTCTGATGCATTACAAGTAATTGCAAAGACCACGGCCTGGATCACACACACTTAATTCTCCAGACTGACATCATTGCTCTTCAGTACTCTAGAGAGGTCCCTGACAGCAGAGTTTCTCAAAGCAATTTATCTTTTGCTTTTCTTGCCTCTGGTACCAAGAATGTTGATTGTGGAATCAAGCAAGCAGTAATTCCTAACAATCTCAATCTCCTCTCTATCCTTCATGATGCCCCCAATTGGCCTAGTGGTGAGAATCTCTGTTTCTGGGTGTTGAGCCTCAATCTATGTTAAAGACAGCAATCTGTGACCTTCTGCAGCGAACATCCCATGTCCTCCTCAGTTTCAGGAAGCAAGGTGATGTCATCTGTATTATGCAGGTTGTTGGTGAGTCTTCCTCCAATTTTGATGTCCCATTCCTCCTCCTAAAGCCCAGCTTCTTGAATGATCTGTTCTGCATTGTTCTGTTATGGATTGAAAAGGTGTGGCGGAGATAGGGTGCATCCCTGGTATACACTTTTCCTGATTTTGAACTATACAATATTTCCTTGCTCTGTTCTCACAACTGCTTCCTGGACTGAATATAGGTTTTGCATGAGCACAGTTAAGTGTTCTGGGAATCTCATCCCTCTCAATATGTACAAAACCAGAATCTTGGGCTTGTACCTATTCCCATTTGCCATAGAGTTCCATGTATCTACCACAACTGCAGACTTGAGGAGCTGTGACAGTCCAGTTAAGCTTGGTTAGGTCTAGAGAAGGTTTCCCAGCCCCAAACTCCTGAAGCCATCTTTCAGGTGGGGGACATTGTGGCTACTTACTTTCACACTAGTTTTTTAGAACTGTGTGTTGTGTTTGTTTGAGGGTATTTGAAGAATCTTCAAGGCAGTGCTCAAGGGAGGACAGGAATTGTAGAAGGAGAATTGATTGGAATCCATCTCCTCTTTCATCTCCCCGGCTTGGAATGTCTCTGTCCATTAGAGGACATCTAATCTAAGCTTGTGGAAGTTATCTTAAATTCCCCCTTCATTCTTTCAGTTACATTATAGGCTAGAACAATAGGTCCCAGCTAAGGATCTCAGCAAAAATGAAAAGGGTTTGACACCTATTTTCAACATTTTGAAAATTAATTGGAAATGGTAGAATGAGAGAATAGAAATTAGCTTTTACTAAGCTTTTATTTTGTCTTTTGAATTTATATATTATCTCATATTAGAAAACTAATTATATAATTACTGATCAAAAAAGTTCTTTTATCTTACTGATTAATAAAATATGACAAATATATTCTTTAGAGCCAACACAAGTAAATACAATTATAGACCTAACCCTGCAATGCCATCAAAAATAAACAGTAATCTTAATCCATTTATGAATATACAGGCAGACAGGCAACGTGAACAGATATGAACAGATGAAATAGGCACACATGCCCATGATCCTACATAGGTTTGGCAGGTGCTATTTCTATGTTCTTATCAGTAGATACTGTAAACATATCTGCATCTACAGCATGGCCAACATGAGACAAAAACCACATAAACTTCATAAACATAAATCAATACCTTCAAAGAAGGAGTTCCTGCTTTTGGAAACTTGGGGCAATAGTCTTGGGGATCATTAGGTCAATTGGCACAACATGGTTCACACAGTCAATAATCTACATCTGGCTTTAGTGAGTAGCTTGTGAGCAACCATTTAAGGTGCAACTACTCGTTTCTCCCTGCCCAGAGCAAAGAAGTGGGAGGAAAAGCAAAGATGGCCTGAAACCTTAATTTCAAATAACCTTGAGGTCAGAAGAACTAGATCACTCTTACAAGGGCCACAGCAGAAGATGCTTGGTTGAGTAGGGGGTGGTGGTGGTGGTAGGGATTAAAGAAACATAAAAAGGCAATGCTTACTGGTATGACAGAGACTGGCGGAACCCTCAAGACTATGGTCCTTAGTCATCTTTGAACCTGGAACAACACTTACCCTGGAGGCTCAACTTTCAGCCAAAGGAAGAACGAGTTTATAAGGTGACAGCACCAGGGAGGCACTCACTCTTTAGAATAATCAACCATAAAAGGCTTAAAAAGCAGCATTTGCTTAAGCATGAAACTCTGAAGACAGGACGGGGGAGGAAAAGAAGGTTAATGGAAATGAGAATAACAGGTAGGAAGTGGGAAGTGTAACTACTTTGTAGTTATTGTAATTAATGTTACAAAAGAAACAGTACAAATTAATGGAAACCAATTTGTTAACTTTTGTTTAAATAATAATTAAATAAACAAAAGAAATGAATTCCTTAACAACTTCAATTAAGGAGACAAATTATTTCAAGACAAAGGTAGAATGATGAAGATAAAAGACAGAATATAGTTAGGAATTTGTGGGCTAGAGACAGGTGAACCAGCTCTGCCTGGGTGGGTGGGAATGCAGCTGTCAAGACAAACCTGGCTCTCCCCAGCCAATCACCTGATCACCCCCAGATGCCAGAGGCCTCAGACCACCAGTTTCTCCTCTTCACTTCGGTGTAACTGGAGTTTTTTAGTCCTGAAGAGCTTTTATAAGGAAGGAAGGATTTTTATTTTTTTTAAATGAAAACAAGAGATGGGCATATGCCTATTAAGTTTTAGGCATATATATTGATGAGGAGTGTTTATTGGGGAGAGATATCTCAGAATCAGTGGATCAAAGAGAACAGCCACATCTAAGAATGCGCTTCATTGTCTTCCAAAGCTGTGTCACAATGGAAACCAGAGGAGATGGTGGAGACGTCCCTGGACCACTCTGACTCCTCTTCATTTGCACTGAGGACAAATGGTTGTGAGTTTGTGAGTCTGTGAGTCTGTTTGCAGGCAGATCTTACCTGTTTTCACATTCTATGTGCCTATCTAGTTCTTGCTTCACTGAGTTGGAATAGACTCTTAGCTGACCCTCCAGCAAGTTTTGAGAGGCAGTAAATTGCATGGAAGTTGATTGCTCTTCTTTTTCCCGTAGAGCTGCTGGTGGATTCGAACTACGTGCCCTTTGGTTTGCAGTACAAATCCTTACTACTAGGCCACCAGAGCTCCCCTATAGGGAGATTTGGAGGCAAGAAGTTATGCTGCAATCCCAAATGCACGTGGTTCGAGTCCACCAGCTACTCTGTGGGAGAAGGATGGACAATCTCCTCCCGATGATATACAACAACAAAAACAAGTCATTCCCTATATTGATCATGATCTCTGAGATGGATATTGAAAGACATAAAAACCCAGAAGAGCCGTTTAAAAATGCTTCTAACCTACAACCAGGAGAAGATAACGTAGATGAATGGGATCTTCTAAGACTCAAATCCCTATGCACATCCAAAAACTTCTCCAATAGGGTAAAAAGGGAAGCCACTGACTGGGAAAAAGTATTCGGTAATAACATATCAGATAAGGGACTTATATCCAGAATTTATGAAATACTTGAGCACCACAACAAGATAAATGTAAAGAATCCAACAGAAAAATGGGCACAGGATATGAACAGGCACTTCACCGAAGACGACATTCACATGGCTAACAAGCACATGAAGAAATGCTCAAAATCCCTAGCCCTAAGAGATATGCAAATTAAAACAACTATGAGATATCATCTCACCCCAGTCAAAATAGCAAAATTTAACAGAACAGCAAGCAACAAATACTGGAGAGGTTGTGGAGAAACTGGAACCCTGATTCACTGTTGGTGGGAGTGTAAAATGGTGCAATCCCTGTGGAAAGCAGTATGGCACTTTCTCAAAAAGTTGCAAATAGAGATACCATTTGACCCAGCAATTCCACTACTGGGAATATACCCTGAAGAGACCATAGCTGACATCCAAGCAGATATATGCACACCCATGTTTATTGCAGCTTTGTTCACAATAGCAAGGAGCTGGAAACAACCTAAGTGCCCATCAACAAACGAATGGCTAGAGAAGCTGTGGTATATTCACACAATGGAATACTATGCTGCATTGAAAAACAAGGAACTCATGCAATATTATTCAAAATGGTTGACTCTGGAGAACATTATGCTGAGTGAAATATCCCAGTCACAAAAGGACAAATATTACATGATGCCACTGTTGTAGAATGGGACTAACCTCGGGGTTGGGGAGAGACTGAGTAAGATGGGTTCAATAATGTATACTGCACTGAAACAGAGGAGGGAGAAAACTGTTTAAAAGAGA